GATGTAGGTGATGGGAAGGAAGGCAGTAAATCACACTGCCATGTGTGTACCTATGCAACAATCTTGCATGTTCTTCACATGTACCCCAAAACCTAAAATGCAATAAAATAAATGGGAAAAAAAATTAAAAATAATTTAAAAAAAAAGAAAAAGAAAAATATTGAGAGTTTGAACTCAGAAAGGGGCATTAAAGACAAGAAGACACATCTGAGAGATACCAAGGTAGAAGTAGCAGAATTTGATAACTGAAGGACAGAATAACTCCAGGTTTCTCACCTTAGCACCTGAAGAATGATAATGCTATTTACTAAGATCGAGATTACAGGCAGATATTCAATTGAATGATAATAAGGAAGTATGAGAGGTTGAGGAAGGAGTTCAGTTTAGAGGCATGTTAGAACGGCTGAATTATATATTTTTGAATATGTTAACAGGGAAAGGTAAGATGACTATTAATGGACTGGAAACCTAAGGTAGGATTTTCAAATTAAAGATGGAAATAAAATACCTAGGAATACAACGAACAAAGGAGGTAAAGGACCTCTTCAAGGAGAACTACAAACCATTGCTCAAAGAAATAAGAGAAGACACACACAGTTGGAAAAACATTCCATGCTTATGGATAGGAAGAATTAATATCATGAAAATGGTCATACTGCCCAAAGTAATCTATAGATTGAATGCTATCCCCATCAAGCCACCCATGACCCTCCTTACAGAACTGGAAAAAACCACCTTAAACTTCATATGGAACCAAAAGAGAGCCCGCATAACCAAGACAATCCTAAGCAAAAAGAACAAAGCTGGAGGCATCACGCTACCTGACTTCAAAATATACTACAAGGCTACAGTAATCAAAACAGCGTGGTACTGGTACTAAAACAGAGATATAGACCAATGGAAGAGAACAGAGGCCTCAGAGGCAATGCCACACATGTACAATCATCTAATCTTTGACAAACCAGACAAAAACAAGCAATGGGGAAAGGATCCCATTTAATAAATGGTGTTGGAAAAATTGGCTAGCAATGTGCAGAAAGCAGAAACTGGACCCCTCCCTGACACTTTACACTAAAATTAACTCCAGATGGATTAAGGACTTAAACATAAGACCTAACAGTATAAAAACCTTAGGAGAAAACCTAGGCAAAAACATTCGGGACATAGGCATAGGCAAGGACTTCATGACTAAAACATCAAAAGCAATGAGAACAAAAGCCAAAATAGAGAAATGGGATCTAATTAAACTTCAGAGCTTCTGTACAGCAAAAGAAACCATCGTTAGAGTGAACTGGCAACCAACAGAATGGGAAAAAATTTTTGCAGTTTACCTATCTGACAAAGGGCTGATATCCAGAACTTACAAAGAACTAAAACAGATTTACAAGAAAAAAACAAACAAATGCATTTAAACATGGGCAAAGGATATGAACAGACACTTTTCAAAAGAAGACATATATGAAGCCAACAAACATATGAAAAAATATTCATCATCACTGGTCATTAGAGAAATGCAAACCAAAACCACATTGAGATACCATCTCACGCCAGTTAGAATGGTGATCACTAAAAAATCTGGAGACAACAGATGCTGGAGAGGATGTGGAGAAATAGGAACACTCTTACACTGTTGGTGGGAGTGTAAATTAGTTCAACCATTGTGGAAGACAGTGTGGCAATTCCTGAAGGATCTAGAAATAGAAATACCATTTGACCCAGAAATCCTGTTACTGGGTATATATCCAAAGGACTACAAATCATTCTATTATAAAGACATATGCACACGTATGTTCATTGTGGTGCTGTTTACAATAGCAAAAACGTAGAACCAACCCAAATGCACATCGATGATAGGCTGGACAAGGAAAATGTGGCACATATACATCATGGAATACTATGCAGCCATAAAAAAGGATGAGTTCGTGTCCTTTGTAGGGACATGGATGAACCTGGAAACCATCATTCTCAGCAAACTGACACAAAAACAGATAATCAAACACCACATTTTTTCAATCACTGGCAAGTGTTGAACAATGAGAACATGTGGACACAGAGAGGGGAGCATCACACATTGAGGTCTGTTGTGGGGGGACAGGGGAGGGACAGTGGGAGGAAGGGTGGAGAGGGATAACATGGGGAGAAATGTCAAGTATAGGTGATGGGGGGATGGAGGCAGCAAACTACCTTGCCATGAATGTACCTATGCAACAGTCTTGCAGGATATGCACATGTTCCCCAGAATCTAAAGTATAATAAAGAATAATAAAAAAGGGAAAAAAGGAGAAACAAAACAAGAGAAAGTAAACAACAAATTAAAATGAGAAATAAACATAAAGATGGAATGAATACAATCAAGGACAATCTAATATAATATAAATACAATTAAAACGAGAAAGGTAAGCCTGGCTATATTGAAATTTCTGTGAAACTTCTAGGTCAGGGTTATTTAGTTACCAGTTAAAGATGTTTACATCAGAAGAGAGGTAGATTTTGTCACAGGTGGTAGCTAAGGCCAAGAGCATGGAAGAGGTCATTTGGAGAGATCATTTCAAGTAAGAAAAGTGGGATAAGGACCAAACCTTCCGGAACAATAATATTTAGGAGATAGACAAAAGAAGCCAGCAAAAGAGGCTGAGGGAAAATAGTCAGATATATAGTAGAAAAACTAGGAAAGAAGGGATAAGTTAATGATTTGTCCCAGGGGTCAAGTTAGATGACAGTGTACACTGGATATGACAATAAGTTAGTTGCTGGTGACTTTAGACAGAGTAACTTTAATTGCGGTGAGGATTGGTTGGGAAAACTAGATGCCTATGTATTTGAGGAGTAAATGGGAAGTGAGAATGAAAATATACTGAATGTACCTATTATTCTTTTAATACTCTTAGCCATTAAGTGGAAGAGAAAAACATCGTTGTAGCTGGAGGGAAATAGAGTCCAAGGAAGTACAAAAATAGAGAATTAAGATATGGGGTGCTGATAGGAAGGAGTCAACAGGTATGAAAAGGCTGAAGACAGAGGAGAGAGAAATCCCCAAGGAAGCTGGAAAGGATGAGATCCAGAGCAGAGGTTGCTTTAGGCAGAGCAAAGCATATGACAATGAAGATGATGATTAAAATGAATAAAATGATGAAAATTATAGCTAACATTTATTGAACACTTAGTATGTGTCAGACAGTATGATAATATAATTTAATTCCTTAGGAATGCTAATGGATAGCTTTTATTACTAGTCCCATTTTACAGATGAGGAAACTGAAGCACAGAGAAGTTAAGTTACTTGTTCAAGATCACAAATCTAATACACGTTCAGGCTGGGATGCAAATCTGGGTCTGGTTGATGCCATAGCCTGAACTCTTAACCACTATTATCATACTGCTAATCTATGTGGTCCTTGCCACTGATCACAAACAATTGAATTAAAGCCACAAACAGTTTATCTCTGGCGCTGGTCATAAAGGGAAGAGCTAGTCAGTATTTAAACCTCAACCCCTGTACAGCTGCTCCTTATCCTATTTCCTCTTTTTTCCTTTTGTATCTGCTAGAATGAGGATGCAGGGCTGTTGGTCTTTCCATATATTGATAACACTGAGCAGGATATCTAAAATCTGCTTTGTTCTTCCTTCCCTGAATCAAACATTCTTAAATTACAAACCCTTAAAGGAAATCAGTGTAACCATGAGCAATTGCATATTATTATCCTCTCATACAGTCTTCATCAATCTATATGTGCACTCATTTTACTCATATATTTGTGTTTCAGGCTCCTCATTTATATGCAGAAGCAAGATCAGCAACAACAAAATGACCACAGAGGTGCCTCTAATAAGGAGCAAATAGTAGGAAAATTGAGTATAGTATATATCATCTTTGGCTCAAAAACATCTTATTCCATGTGAAAAAGTTATCCTTCCATCATTCCTCCTCTCCAACTTTTTGTAAATCAGATTCAGATTCTTCTTAATGCCATACTCAAAGCAGCTGTTTGCATGACTGACCCCTTTGCAATGTGTTAATAACTAAATGTGACAAATCTGTACAAATTCCAAAACTAATGGTTAGCCAATACGTTTTTGGGGATAATTTATAATTACCTTGAAAAAATGTAAAATTACATTTTAATAATTAACAAAATTAGGACTCCATTTGTATAGTAAAATGAGTTTTCAATCACTTAAAAACATTTTATTCCTAGGAGTCTGATATAGTTTGGATATTTATTCCCACCAAAATCTCATATTGAATTGTAATCCCCAATGCTGGAGGAAGGGCCTGGTGGGCAGTGTTTGGGTCATGGAGGTGGGTCCCTCTTGGCTTGCTTTTGTTTTTGCTTGCTTCCCCTTCAACTTCCACCATGATTGAAAGCTCCTTAAGGCCTCCCCAGAAGATGCTGTTATGTTTCCCGTATAGCCTACAGAACCATGAGACAATTAAATCTCCTTTTAAATAATTTTTAAAATAAAAAATTATAAAATTTTTAAAATATATTTTATAAAAAATAAAATTTTTAAATAAATTTTTTATAAATTACCCAGTCTCAGGTATTTATTTATGGCAATGCAAGAATGGCCCAAGACAGAATCTAAAAATTAAGCTAAGTTATTTCAAAATGATCATGTTTCTAGGGGAAGAGAAAGAAAGTCATACAAATCCACAGCAGCAGATATAATCTTGGTTCAAATAGAATGGAAAATAATTAAGAAATCACTCAAGACTATCACACATAAAGACCTTACACTGTAAAAGTCTAATACACCTACCCACAGGGCTCTTGAAAATAGGTAGTGTCAGTGTGCCGATCCAGAGCTAGCTTGGTATACGCAGTGTCACCTCTGGAGAAGTCCGAAGTGAAATACCACATCCTCCCATAAATGGTTTCTCTGTCAGATGAAACAAAGAAAGACCTGTTAGCTATTTGAAACGTTCATTCTTGTCTTTCAAAACTCTTTCCAATACTTTCTTTAGTTACTCACAAATAACAATAGATTTTTTTGGTTCCAGAGTTTCATCCGTAAGGTGAAAATGACATTTGAACATGCTAGTCTTGACAATTCTGTCATTGATTAACATTCTAGAAAGTTGAGGAGAAAACTGTGAAAGTATAATGTTCTATTCTGGAAGCTTAGAGAATCATTCCACACTGATTATGTACCCAGTTTTCATAGGATTCATAAATTCAAGGTTCTTTTCTATGCTCACCTTTATTTCATAGAAAAAGATGATGTAGCTGCTTCTGGGAATGATTTTTTTAACTTTATTTACTATTTTTATAGCTGTTGTCTTTTATTAGTATCATTTTTTCAATAATGGTGATCCTTTCCTAATATTTTTGACAATCCAATTTGCAAGGATGACTGAAGAGTTTTCATATTCTTTATAAGACATAGAAGTGATTAATGTTGATTCTCACTCATCTTTTGGACATGGAGAAATAAGGAAAAGAGAAAAGGATAGTTTGTGTTAGCAAGTATTTACTGAGATTTCCTGTACCATTGTTGTTGTGTCTCTCCTTGAAGTATACATCACATATTTTGATTTTGTAATTATTTTCCTGGTGGGTTCAAATCTGACGAAAGGTCACTTTAATTCTTTAGCTTTCAGAGTTCATCTTATTTTCTGAACCCTTGAAGTTCAAATAGGAAATGTTCTTTCTTTTGAAGTATCATCCCTAAGCTGTCTCAATTTATTGCTTACCAGCACAGTTTCTTTCACTTGAGAGTTCTCAAACCATGATTCAAACTGAATGGCTCACAGATGCTGTTAATTATGCTCTACCAGCACAGGGCAGAAGACCCAACATACTATTGACTACAAAATGAGGTATATCTGGACCTTATTAAGTAAAAGGAAAGTGCTAATTATAATAAAGTAGGTTAAATGCAGAATGGTAATGAAAAGAACAATGTATTTAGGATTAGGAAACCTGGGCTATTTGAATTCAAGCTCTATTGTTTATTAGCAGAGCAATCCTGGGCAAAACATTTGGTATATTTGAGTGTCAGTGCCTCATCAGTAAAACAGGGGAAATTACTTTAAAAGAAAATAATGGGTGTGAATGTGCTGGCTGAATGCTATATAGCCTTTCAAGGCAGTGTTATTAACAATCAGTCTCGGAATCAAGCCATAGGGATTGTAGAGGGTCAAAACTGGATAACCTTTAGATACTATCTTATTCAATCCTCTTTTGAACAGACAGGAAAATAGAGGACAGTGGGGGTCGAGGATGTGTGTCTGTGTGTGTAATGGACATGTCTATGGTCACACAACTACTTGATGGTAGAACTCAGACTACTATCCAGTTATCCTTACAGTCAGTGTTTTTCCAGTGTACAATAATATCTCTCACTTTGAGGATCACTGGGCTAGAAAAATATTACCAACGACTCTATATAAATCATTATATTTTACATGCAAATGTATTTAGAGTTTAAAAATCCAGACCTCAAATAAAGCACTGCAAGTGGGAGTCCCCTTATTCATGCTCAAAATATTCAGAATTGAAAACGAGAGTGACCACACCCATTACATTTATTTATTGGTACACATGATCTGGAAATTAACTATAGTACTGTGGATTTCAGGAAACAAATGAATTACCTGATTAAGCTGATCCTTTCTGCCAACTTCTCTGTGTGCTCTCGAGTGGGAGGGACATTTTCTACAAAAGCAATTCCATAGAGCAGAAAGTTTTGCAGAAACTTCTTCAATCCCTCCTTGGTTTCTAAGAAGCTCTGGCAATCTACAGATGGAACTTGGGCTTGCTGGTAGATTTCAGCATTCCATAATATTCTAGGCTGGATGACTTTTTGTTTCTGCCCTTCATAGCTGTTTTTCACTAGCCAATTCAAGTCGTATTTAGTCACATGACCATCTGGCCCTTTTAAGGGGAAAAATAAAAGGCACTAAAATAATAATTACAAATAATGGCAACATTTTAATTGGCTATAAAGTATAATTGGTTACAATTTCTTAGAAATCAGTTATCTAGTACTGTATTGTTTATGAAGCAAAATTAAAATGAGTGCCTAGAATGTTTCTGAGACAGAAATATGTGTGGTTTGAGTGGTATGCATGCATAAATGAATGAACAAATAAATCTTCCCAGAGGCCAAATAAGTTTACAGAATTATAGTTACATAGTAAAAGACCATCTGGAAAATTAACCAAGTCATCACAGAATGACAATCAAAGTAGGTTTTACCCTACTTGGTATTCTCTCTCCTTGTCCCCATCCCTGTCTTCCATCTATATTGGAACTCAGAATGTTTGATCTAGAAGGGGATAATCTTTATTTTACAGATGGAGATAAAGTCAGTTAGTGACTCACTCAGGATCACACCACTAAGTACTATAGGTGGAACTAGAACCCCACCTTCTTGCTTCTAGAAGTTCAGTACCATTCTATGCTGCCTTCCTCTTCTACATGATATAGGATATTTCTGTCTAATTATATGACATAAACACAATATAATAAAATGACTTTGTAAGTGACTTCACCTGCTGTGCGCCACCCTCACCCAAAAAAAGCCAAAAACCAACCTCAAAATGCTATAGAAAATCTTCAAGATAAGCAAGGAAGCAAGCAGCAGAAGGAGTGAAAGGTTTGTCTATCATTTTTACTTCTCTCTCTCTTTTTCTCCCTCCCCATGATAAAAAAGTATCACACTTTGGATAATTTGGAAAGCATAAAAGTCACCATGTTTATCTTTCTACCACCCAGATGAAACTATGATTGACAGCTTGGCATCATTCCTTCCAGTTTTTTTCTATGTATTCTCTTATTTTATATAATTTATATACATAAATATATTATATAAAACTTGAGACCCTGCCATTGTCACGTAACATTGTAACAATTTTAAAAATTAAATTTTATCATTTTTAAAATTAAGTCTTCATTAAAGTTAATTTTTAAAGCTTGCAAAATGTACATTACCAAGATTTACCTAACCCATTTGTTCTTCTGGGTATGTATATTTATTTTAAATTTTTTCCTATTATTTAATAGTGATCATCTTTAACCATATTTCTAATAATTTAGAAATAGAATGCATATTATATTTCTTGAAAGTTTGTAGCTTTGTATTTAGAAATTTCAAAGCTACAAACTTTCAAGAGTTCTGAATATACATAATCATATTACTTTCTAGAAAGTCTACTAATATTCATTCCCTCCAACAGTACCTATGTGTCTATCAAAATGGAGTATTCTTATTTTTAAAATATATATTTTTTCTAATTTGGTAAGTAAAGTGAAACTGCCATCATGTAATAATTTTAATTTATTTGTTTACTAATAAGGCTAATAAGAATACTTTTTCTATTTGTTAGACATCTATGTTTCTTTAATGCAGGGGTTACCAAACTATGGTTTATGAGTCAAATCTGGTGCTTGGTTTTGTAATGCCTGTTTCAGAACACATGAATGTCCATTTTGTTACATATTGTCTATAACTCCATTTACTCACAACTCAAGAGCTGAAGAATTGAATAGTTGTGACAGAGACCATATAGCCCACAGAGTTTAAAAATATTTACCATCTGGTTCTTTACAGAAAATGTTTGCTACTCCTGCTTTAATGATTTGTCCGTTCAGTCCTTTCTCACATTTTTCTATTGGAATACTTGTACTTTTCTTACAATTTAACAATAGCACCTTATATATTAAGGTTAGTTAGTCTTTGTCATATATTTTGCTAATATTTTGCCAAGTTGCCTGTTTTTAAATAAATGTTTCTACGGCATTGATTTTTCTACTGTAAAGAAATTAGTAGTCAATGTATGGATTGTAAGTATGTTTTTTCCTCCAATACTTTTTCTTTTAATTTTTTTATTTGGAGATAATAGATTCATAGAATGTTGAAAAGAAATGTGTAGGAAAGTCCCATGAGCTCTTCCCCAAGCCTTCCTTGATGTTAACATGTTATATAACCACAGTACAATGCCCAAACAAAGAAAGTGGTATTGGTACAATCCATTGAGCTTATTCAGATTTAAGCAGTTAAACATATATTCATTTATGTGCATAGATCTATGCAGTGTAATTATATGTGTAACTTTGTGTAACCACCACCACAGTCAAGATACTCAACCATATGACTCCGTGTTACCCTTTTATAGCTACATCTGCCACCTCCTACCCCTGCATCCCTAACTCCTAGCAACCAATAATCTGTTCGCTATCTCTATAATTATGTTATTTCATGAATATTACATAAACGAAATCATGTAGATTGGCTGTTTTACTTCAGCAAAATTTAACTGATGTTCTTCCGAGTTACTGTGTCTATCATTAGCTCATTTCTTTTCATTGCTGAGTAGCATTTTATTGTATGGATGGTTTGTTTAACCATTCACCTATTGGGTAGTTTCCAGTTCTTGGCTATTACAAATAAGGCTGATGTGAACATTAATGTAAAGGGTTTTTGTTGTGAACATAAGTTTTCATTTCTTTGGGATAAATGCCCAGGAGTGTGATTTCTGGTTGCATGTTTAGGTTTCTTTTTTCTTTTTTTCTTTTTCTTTCTTTCTTTTTTCTTTTTTTAAGAAACTACCAAACTGTTTTCCAGAGTATAGCATTTTACATTCCCATGAGCAAAGTATAAGTGATAGAATTTCTCTGAATCTTCTCTATTATTTGGTGTAGTCACTGTTTCCTAATTTAGTCATTTTGATAGGTATGTAGTGCAGACTCATTGTGATATTA